AGCCTTCTGCAAATCAGCTGCCTGAATTCTGTATCACAGACAAGGTAAACTAAATCACTGCACTATGGTTTTCTTCTAGACTTACATGTTAAAGTTCACTATATCAAACCTTGTCGGTGATACTGCAGCCTCAGAAGAAAATAAATTACATCCTAAACATGCCATTTCCAGGAAGGGGAAAGAGAACTACCATCCAATGCTGCTTAACAGGAGGCTCTGAAATCAAACTATATATGTCTTTCCATTCCGCATGGGTGTAAATTGAGAAAGGCAACTCAAAGCATGGCAGTAATTCCATATATCGAAATTCTACCCCGTATGTAGAAGAGAAAAGAGACAGATTAGGAGGCATGGAAAGCAACTTGTTCTCTTTTCGAACTATTCCAGAGTTAATGTGATGAGCCTTCAGAACTCTAATCAGTTCCTTGTGGTGAATTGCAACCCCCAAAAGTATTTGGAAGACGGGTGTGATTGACATTTTGCAGGCTCTGGCTCAGCTTGCAGAAATGATACAACATTTCAATAGAAGGCACATGACGGCTTCCTACAGGGCATTCCAAAGAGGCCATTTGTTCTCTCATTGGTTTATTACTGCTGGTACTTCTTCTCTTTGTGCATTGAATATGAAGGTCTGAGAGAAAACATAGGAAGCTGCCTTGTGAGTCAGACCACTGGCCCATCTAGTTCAGAATTGTCTACACTGAATAGCAGCAGCTATCCAGAGTTTCAGGAAGTGGTCTCTCCCAGCTTTGCCTGGAGATATCAGGGACTGAACCTGGGACCCACTGCATGCATGCTGGGTGCTCAACCACTGGTTCTTCCTCAGCAGTTAACATTTTACTGCATACTTTTGCATGTCAGGAGAGATAGGGTGGAACCAGAATACATAGGCACACTGAAGGTAGGGTGAGCACATGTACATTTTGTGAACACCTAAAAAGGGCTTCTAATGTACCAGAATTTAAGAAATCATATATTACTGGAATAGGTAATTTTTAGATCCTTTCAAACGTAAGGTATTCCAATGAGATCAGAAGGCACTAAGATGATTATACTCTTAATGTCAGGCGGAAACCTGATTTAATAATGTTTTTACAAAATATAATTAGCAAGAAATTACTCAAACCCAGATAATGTGGTTCAGAATAGCAACAATCACACTCTGTTCCAATGACTAAAACCTACAATTATCATTAAGCATCAGCACATTAGGTAATTAGTTATTGAATTCATAAAGCTGGCATGAGATCATTATTTCTGAGGAAGCTACTTTTCTTCCATCATTTTAGAAAACAACAACACCAGGATATTATAGTTATTGGCAAAGTTGCAATTGATTGACAAAGATCATCAAAGGAAGATTTAACATGGATTTTTTATTTTATTTTAATAAACTTGCTTTCATTATCTGTCACATTCATTATCTGTTTATGTTGCTTCAAGTCATTCAGAAAGCATGCTTGCTTCTGTTGTGAACATCAAACATTTTAGAACCCTGGGTTGGAGCACATTTATACCAGGAGAGGTGTTATATCCTATGCTAAGAAAAAGACATAAGCTATGCATTGACTTGATGTGCTGTAGCCCATAAAAAGGCTACCACTATCATCCTCCACAAATGCTTTGAAGGGGTGAGTGCTGCCAGATTAAGAATCTTTATATTAACTAACAGCATGATGTTATGTGTTCTTAAATGGCAATTGGCTCCATTGAACTCCATAGGATTTACTTCCTGCATAAACATCAAGGATCAGGGCTTCAAAGCTTCAATTTCCAAAGCATTAAAAATGGAAATGCCACAAGCATTATAATAAAAATTTGTGGTTACTGTCTCACAAAAGGAATTGTATCCATACACCCCCCACACACCCAAGCTATAGTGTCTATGGAACAGTGAGCAGCCCAACACAGACATAATGGTAAAAGGCAAAGGGACCCCTGACCATTAGGTCCAGTCGTGGCCGACTCTGGGTGGGGTTGCGGCGCTCATCTCGCTTTATTGGCCGAGGGAGCCGGCGTACAGCTTCCGGGTCATGTGGCCAGCATGACTAAGCCGCTTCTGGCGAACCAGAACAGCGCACAGAAATGCCGTTTACCTTCCCGCCAGAGTGGTACCTCAGTTCAAAGCACTGGCTGTAATGAGGAATTGACCTGAAGAACCTACGCTGCACAAATACCCTTTCCCTTAACTGGTCAGACTTAAACCATAGATTAGCATTACATCTGTACCTTGCCAAATCTAAGCAACACTAAAAAAAGCAGAGTCCACAATAAGGGTTTGTAGCGGGTTCACAAATATTGGTTCAGGGGTCTAGTGTCAGTTCAAATGTATTGCTAAACTATGGTTGACAGCAACAATGTAAGAGAGGGGTAGATCCATACATGAGAGAAGAGGATGTTGGGGAAGGAGCCTTCCTGATGAAGGCTCCCTGCAAACAACAACTAAAAACTGGAAATCCACATCAGACATGCATGCTTCTCTTTCTCTCTGAAGTGTGAATGTCTCAGTTTCATTTGGGTGTGACTGCTTTAGGTGGACAGCAAAGGCAAGGGCCAGGGCTATTTTAAACATGTGGGAATAACCTCAGACTCTCCTTTAGACTTTAGACTGGGTGGTCTCTCTCTTTCTCTTACTGGGAATGAGTATGAAATTTGTTTTTGATGAGTGGTGTAGGTTTGGAAACTCTTTGCCTTGAGATGTTCCTAACTGCCTCACTAGATGACCAAGCACTTACGAAAGTTTATTCCTACATGTTAATGTATTTTGCCTGCTACTTTGGTTTTAATTATCTAGATTATAAATGAATTTGATCAGCCTCCTTTCTTTATTTTAAGCTTGTTTCTGATTACTTGGCTTTTGCACTTCTTATTGCAGTTTTCATGAGATCATTAACTTTTAATTCTTAGCGTTATAATACTGGATTTTGAGCAGTTAGGAATCTTAACTTTTATATTGCATTTTTAAAAGTCTAACAATGGAAATTATATAACTGGCCATCAATAATTATTCCGTGCATGGTTTACAGACAAAACATTGTTTAAAAATACAATATATAATGAAAATCAACCCCCACCAAAAATTCTCGAAGAAAATAAAACAGATATAGGGAAGCAGATGAAAACATAGACAGGTGGGCAAGTGCCAACAAGGAGCTTGTCCCACCAACCTGCCCCTCATTTCTGTTCACCTGTCATTCACATATGCTGTTAGTTTTCTTTCTCACTCACCTATAAATATGCTTTGCTCCTTCTGTGGTCCCTGTCAAATATTATCCTGGTGCCGTTACTGCTAACAGCAAGGAAAGGAATAATCAGATGCTCACTTTAAGTTCCCAATTCTTCCTTTGTAGCTACATCATTACCTGCCCCACACCTGATATCTGGAACATGGGAAGTGGTTATGGTTTGTGTGAAATGGCCTTGTGGGCCTTCTTGGGACCTATCCCAGGCTCATAGGCCAGAAGTTCCAAACCCTTGCTCTATAGCTATAATTGAGGAAACTATCTGATCTTTATCATTTGTGTTTCCCTGCAGACTCCAAAATCGTACTCATCAATATGGTATGAAAAAGTGAAAAGGGAAAGTATTTTTCCTGCTTTGCCAGCAGGAATGTGTAAATAAAGTATCCACGAGGCTCCCTTAACACCTCATCTCCAGGCTTATTTACTTATAAATAAAGCTAGAAAATTATACACACTCTGCTTGGTTGTCCTAATGGCTCTATTTCGCCCCCTGCTAATAGACTGCTATTGAATGACTATTTTGAAGCTTAGCAGGTTTTGATAAGATTGGCTACAATTACTTGGTGTCCTTCAGTGGCATTATGCTCTCTGCAGTAAATAAGCACTCCCCCGCCCCGCCCCCCGTCTTCCTCTAAAGACAATAAAAAATGCCACTCTGACTATGCTAGAATTTAATGTGAAGGGAGGTAGAGAAGATACAGGAGGGACAAGCACAATAATAATGGGCAAGTTCACTTATTCTCAAACTGATGGGACAAATGTCAGCTCAAGGCACTTTGCCAACGAAAAATTACTAGATAGCATAAATGGCTTCTTCCAACTGCCAGCTCTAAAGCCCATTTAGAGACATGTTTGATTTAGTCTTCAGTGGAATGCTGAAGATGTCCACAACCCTCTGCCAAAAGCTAGGATTTCATAGCAAAGAGGAAAATTAACATTTTCACGACTGTTTTGTGGCTTCTTTTACCTTACTGCCACAGTAGCACTTTTCGTGGTCCCTGTACAGAAATGCTAGTCAAGATAAATCACTGCTGTATCCTAATACCTACATTAAACATGGTGTTGATCATGCAGAGCCCTTCTACAAACAGGCTCCTGTGATGGGATAAACTTCAATTCCTCTATGGATTAGATCTCAGGAAATCCCTTAAATCCAAAAAAGGCTAGTGCTACAAAACCCCAAAACACCCATCCCTTTTAAAAACAGCATTATCTGCTGGCTTTGGTAACAAGATGTTTAGGGAGAGTAGAGGGGAGTCTCTCTTTCCCATCCTTTGCCAACGTTTTCAACCATTTGCGTAACCTGGAATAATGTTGTGGTCACTGTCCATAGTTAGGAGATTACTGAAGACTGCAGAGATACAATCTACTAGGAGAAAACGACTAGATTCTGACCAGTGGGGGAAAGTAACTATTTTGCAGAAAGTTCCCCCCACACCCCCAGAGGCAGGGATTGTTCCTACATGAAATTTGCCCAAGGCACCTATAACACGGGACCAGTGCTTTTTTCTGGGGGGACACAGGAGTACGTATACCCCTAAACATTTTGTGAATCTAAGTTTGGCCTCATTGAGGGGCAGTATTTCAATATGAGTAGGAAAATGAGAGTACCCCAAAACATTTTTCTTTTAGGAAAAAAAGCACTGCATGGGACTGTCATGTTCCCACTAGTGACAGACTGGGAATACAGGCATATTCCCTGTGAATGTTGACCAGTCTGACAACTACTGAGCTTTTCCCTTTAAGCTCCCTAGAATGTGAGATAGCTGAGTCGGTAGAGCATGAGATTTTTGATCTCATGGTCATTGGTTTGAGTCCTACGCAGGGCAAAAGATTCCTGCATTGCAGGGGGTTGGACTAGATAACCCTCATAACCACTTCCGGCTCTGCAAGTCCAGCCACTTTTGATTGATGGGGTCTGTGTGGAGAGGGTAACAACGTTCAGATTTTTGGGCATTGAATTACAAGAGGATCTGTCCTGGAGTGTCAACACAAGGGGGCTTGTGAAGAAGGCGCAGCAGAGACTGTACTTTTGAGAATACTAAGGAAAAACCATCTTCCGCAGAAACTGCTGCTTGCCTTCTATCACTGTGCCATTGAGAGCGTGCTCACTTATGGCTTATGTGTGTGGTACGGAAGCTGTACTACCCAGGACAGGATGGGGTTGTGCAGGGTTGTTAAGGCAGCAGAGAGCATTGTTGGCTGCCCACTCTCCACCTTAGAGCAGATTTATGCCACAAGGTGCCATAGGAGGCACTGGACATAGTAAAAGATCCATCGCATCCTGGTCACTGTCTCTTCGAGCTCTTGCCGTCGGGACGGAGATACAGGACGATGAAGACAAGAACGAGCCGTCTTAAGAACAGCTTCTTCTCCAGAGCGATCTCGGCCCTGAATGGGAAGCCCGGACTTTGAAAAGTCATCTAATCTCCCTTGCTGTATTATACTGTATTGATTAATTAGTGTTTTTATGGAGCAGTCAAGTAATTTCGTTGTCCCCGAAGGGGGCAATGACAATAAAGATATTATTATTATTATTATTATTATTATTATATTATTATTATTATTATTATTCTAAGATCAGTGCTTTGACCAACAAATCAGAGTTTACCCATGGGATATAATACAACTCTGTCAATCGAATGCCAGACTGAAACCCAGATGCTGCTGGGAAAACTGATTCCAACAAATCTGCGCTGCTATATTCTTACATTATATTAACAAAAGGATTTTTTAATGCGGTGTTTTATTTCTTCACACACACACAACACTTTTCATGCTTGGAGGCTTACAATAACAGCAAATCAAGGAAATAACAGCCCTTCAAAAGTTTTGCTTTGTTTTCTGTTGGAGCCACAAAGCTGTTCCAAATGCAGGCCCACCCCTTGCGTTTTCCTGTTTATCATCAACACACTAAACCCTGATAAGGATTTCACATATAAATTGTTCCATAAGAAAAGAAAGCGGAGCAGGGAGGGAGGAGGCATTGGGGAGCTGGGGAGAAGTAAAAAAGAACTCTGCATTATGGCTTTATCCGTCTTGAGAACAATAATTGAAGTGCTCAAGCCAGAGGATAGGCTGGCATAAAAATGCATAGGAGCCACTGCTGGGTTAAAATAAATAAAAATAAATCATAGTAATCATTTATGTTGTTCAGAGGATTAAGGGCACTTATGCGGCTTTTAAAGAAATCTCTCCTGGGTGCAGGGTATTAAGAAAAAAAAATTGTTTTCCTTACCGGAGGGTCCAGATCCTCAGCTTCAACTGTTGTTATAACCGTGCCCTTGATTGCATCAGGAGCAACCATGCCCCTGTACAGAGGTTTGCTAAATACTGGGGAGTAATCGTTCATATCCTGCAAAACATAATTAAGAATTTACTGCTGAAGCTGAAATGAAATTATGGACACATTCACAATAGTTCTTTCAAACTAGTCTCTGCTCAGCCTCTTCTCGTTATCCAATTCATTTACTACTGTCAGGCCTTCTGGCTCCTCAATTGTGTTACTTATCTGCGCACAAGACTGGTACTCAAGAGGAGGATGCAAAATTTTCCATGCAATGTAAATGTGTAAAGAATTGACATAGAGTAGATCTGCTTCATCAGAACAATTGTCATTTCAATAAATGAGATTTCCAGGGACTGAGCAAATTCTTGTAGGCTGTGAAAATGCAAACTCTAAAGTAGCATCTTGAGAAATAAGCATATCACTTTTTTATTTTTAAAATAACTACTGATAGGTAGCTTTCATCTTGTGATCTCTTATGAAATTAGTTTCAGAGGTGTGGAGTGACCCAACAGGTTTGAGAGGGGGACTCTTTTTCTTTTTAACAAAACGTGATGCAAAATAAATTGGATCAAATCCAGGGTTTTGTAGAAACTGTGATCAATCAAATACACTGGCAATAACAAACTCTGATACGAAATATGGTACCTTAATTTTCAGGATCATCATTAATGCATGACCTATGTATCCTATGGGGGGACTTTAACCATGCTCCCATGGTGCCAGTTTTTGTAGGTTCCACTCACATGTTGAAACTAACGTTAGCACTCTCCCATGCATGCAGGAAGAGGCAGCAATCAACCAGGAAAAAAACAACCAACCCAGTTTAAGGGAATCTGCTTGCACTGGATTTGTAACCCATATTGGCCAGAGTTCTCGATTGGGTATAGTGGGTCTATGTGTGTGGCAGGGCCCTTTCACATAAACCCTGAAGGTATAGCTACTCCTGAGTGTGATCCCCATGTATTCACTCAGCATGTGAATAGAGCTATTGTGGTTGGATGTGCTGCTCATCCAGCACAAGAAAAGCTATCAATGCAACAACCAGTCTAAGTAATCACCAATGCCACCAAGCTCTCTCTCTCTCTGTGTGTGTGTGTGTGTGTGTGTGTGCGCTCGCTCGCTCTGTGTCTGCATTTCTAGTTCATGTTTGTTTGGGGGGGCAGATAGAGCTCCATGCATTTTCCCCCTTTTTGTTTTGCCTATCACCCACTTTCTCCCACTTATCATTGGCGAAGTTTGAATCTGGTCAAGCTTAGAAAATTAAGTAGATGGGGGAGAAGATTTTTTTTTTGTCAGGTTCAACATGCTAAGTGAAGGAAAGACCACACGCCTGTTTGGATGTTGCCTGGGGAAAAGCTTTTTCCAACTGACAAACATATTCTGCAGATCAAGTAAGGTTCATATGCTTATCCACATGATGGCCTCTACACCAGTGGCTCCAGATTTCCCCTGCCCCTGACAGACCACATGAGGGTCTTGGTGGACCACCTAACAAGTTTTCTGCCTTTTGTAGCAATTGTAATATACTGTGCTAGTTGCTGAATTATTTTTCAATTGTCTTTTTATAGTCATGTTGTAGGCCACCTAAATGAAGTACCCATGGACCACAATTTGGGAACCCTACCTCTACACTACAAAGGTGCAATCTGAATAGCCCAAGAAGTTGGAGGAACTGAAGATAAAAGATGGAGATAGTGTGTAGGCTATTGCTTAAATTGCAGTTATTTCATACCAAACATTTCTCTTTATGGATATAATCTGTGTAGGAAATACTTGCTTAACTGTAATGTATGAAATATAGTGCCAATATTTTTCAGTACACTGATCGCGCGCCCCCCCAAAAATGTGGGGTTTTTTCTTATTTGTTCAAGAACATGTAAAACAAGGGATTATGTCAAGCAAACATCATATTCAGCCCTGTCAGATATTGCTATGTCCCTTTATTGTGTCTGTACTGTTTCCCGATAATAGATGACAAATTCAGAACGCCTAAACATTTGTGTTCATCTTCTGCATGTCCTTATGTCCTTTGTGTTAGGAAATCAGCAACTATAAATAGATATGCCAAAAAGAGAAATGATGTAGAACATCCTCTGATAAGAATGTTTCAGAACATCCTCTTCTATGGGAAATGACTGGAAGGCCTTATTTATATTTCTAAGGTAAACAAATCAGGAGCAAATAAAAGTATGAATGCAAAGTTGCCTAAAATTAGGGTCGCCATATCTGCAAAAGTGAAAATCGGGACACAGTTGTTGAGGCTTTCTTTGTAGGGGAACCAAAGTTTTCGAGATTTTTTTTTTAGTAAAGCTACAATCATTTTTAAAGGCATTTTTGACATGATTTAACCCCCGTTGCTGATTTCTGAAAAATTATCCAGGATGCAATTTTCAAAGGCTGGTTCCAGGAAAATCAGGACTTATGGCAGCCCTAGCTAAAATGCTGAAAGACAAGAAGTTTTTGACCTAAAAACACATTTTTTTCTACTGAGTCAGTCAACACATGAATATTTGGTGAGGTGAAAGGTGCACAATTAGCAACATAGAATGTTCTTCAACAGACATTCAAAAATTCAACTCTAAACCTTTAGATTTATGTAGTGAAGTTCAAGGAGAACTCTACCCCATGATTTTGCTGATATACAAGCTTTGTTCTTAATCCCTTGTAAAGTTCACTGTTTGTAAAAAAAAGTTACTGAAATAATATTTGGAGAAATCTATTAAGGGAGTGGACAAGTTGGATATGATAGTAATTTAGCTAAAGGGAAAGGGCACACTTCCTTTGAAAGTATTCGTGAACAATCAAAATTAGGTAAAATGATAGTTTTAAAAGAGCAGCTATTTTCCATGAATGAAAAGTTGTGAGTGTCCAGCCTGCAATTTTTTTTTAAAAAGGAAGGCTTTGTTATCCCACAAAAGGAAAAAGAGAAGAAAAAAATTCTCTCTAGCCTGCATATGTCAGATGAATCAATATGTCAGATGAATCAATCAATATAAATACATTGTAAAGAATTAAGACATTTTAAAAGTAGCAGGGAGATTTGGTCATACAGCTTTTATGTCCTCAAGTAAAGTTACTCATGCACAACTGCATGGAGAAGAATGCATTACGGTTGGAGAATATCTGCCATTGCTAGGAATTGGGGCCTTTTTTTATCTCATTTGCCTTCAACCTGGCATGTCTCCATACCAAGACAAAAGTATGGTGGGTCCTTATCCGAGAGATGCCATTTGCAGATGACACGGCCTTGACAGCACACTCTGTAGAGATTCATCAGAAGTTTTGCCCAAGCCTGCAGGTAGTTCAGCCTCACCTTCAGTCTGACAAAGACCAACATTCTGGGTGAGAACATCACCAGCGCTCCACGAAACAGCATTGGTGGCCACATGCTTGAGGTCGTAGATGATTTTGTCTGCTTGGGCTGCACTATAACCAGCAACCTCTCCATTGACACTGAGCTGAATTAGTAATGTAGCTATAGCAAAGACTTACTTCTCCAAAAGGGTATGGGAGAATGTGATGCTAATGACCAATACCAAGCTG